TACACGTAACTGACCCCCGAACCCAATTCTGGTTATCAAGACCATTATTGGATCTTTAAAAACCTTTTCTTTTTCCAATATTTTGAGTAAAACATTGGTGGCGACTCTATGAACTCATTTTTCAAAACCATTAATTAAGGATTAGTTTGGTGTCCGGACATTCCTTAATCGATGAGATCTTTAAAAGGATGTCTAAATCATAGGTCGCGAGATCGGAAATTTTCGGGTTGCGACAGATGACGACTCTGCTGGGGACGTTTAAAGAGGGTCAAACCCATTTAATTGATGAATAATAAAATAAAAAATAATAATTTAAATATTTTCCCCTTTACTTTGTTTGCTTTATTTGTTTGACTTTGCTATTTGTTTGCTTGTTTAAATTCTGCACATGCATGAATATAAATTGTACACAAACCTTTGCACACAACAGTTTCCCCTACACCCAAGGGCATGAGGGTATTAAACATAGGGAGTGATTGACATACGACCGGCCCAATTTTGGCCTTGGAGCCTGCGAGCTTTGTCAGAAATCACACTCAAGGTGATAACCGGTTACTCTAACCTAAAATACTACGACAGACCTTAGAGTTTGCTAGGTGACGGCGATAGAGATATTGGGTCCCTATAATGGGGGCACCTTGGGGGCCTTAAAACCAGTGAGATTAGAACCGTCCTATACAATGCACTTTTCTTATAGGGACCACAGACCAAGGATTTGAATGTGACTGTTTGCGGGTGTACATTTGTTTGAGCATATGTGTGTTGCATTTGTTGTGTTCGCTTTTTTGTTCATTTCAAATAGAGAGGAATTATAGACAAAAAAACAGATATCAATAAAAAAAACTAACACTCTTTTGTATACCCTAGCTCTAAAGCATCATATAGAATAGTTTGTTTAAAAAAAAAAAAACAAAATAAATATATAGCAAAAATCATGCATCATAACCTTAAAAAAATGAAAATTTAGGCAGAAAAAAAATATCATGCATCTTTTAGTTTAGCATATACATCCATTAGAAATGGAAGACACATAGTATGTAAAGATTTTTGAGAAAGGAGAACATTCTAAAGTACAAGAATCGTGTGCCCTTATACTAAGGAGGCCTACTAGACTTTCAACTCTCGTCATCCTTTCAAAAGAAGGCAAAGTCTACATCTTCTCAGACTTTTTCCAATCTAGATTGATGTCATTCCTCAATTCAAATAGGATATTATTTGAAATTTGAAAAGGAGGCACGCAAAAAAAAAAGGAAATTGAAGCAAAAAAAAAACAAAAAAAGAGAAAAAGAATTTGCTTCAAAAGAACATAGTTTGGGAAGCTAAAGAAAACTCTGCTGATGAACGAGAAATCATGAACTTAGGGAGTTTGAAAAATTGATAATAAGCACCCTTACACCTCCAATTCATTATCAAATCACTCCAAACCGCATCTTTCTTCTCTGACTCATCAACCTCGTCAATAAAGATGGAAATTTTGGCAAATCACCAAAATAGTGGAGAACCTGAAGATCTTATTGACAGTTACTTCTGATGGGAATAGTAAGAAGAGAATCTGAGAAGAAACAATGACTAATTACAAATCAACGAACGAGCAAGCATGTCTATAGGGACATCATTCAAGCATGAGCTTCTGTAGCCTGCAACAACATCATCAAAGTGCACCGAAAGATCTTGTACAAAGAATGTTCTCTAAACAAACAAATTAATGAGAATGATATTTGTTGAATTTCTCAATCATCTTTGCATCCTGTTTTGCACTTCATATAGATAACATGTCTTCCTGGTAAATAATAAATAAGAACAAAAAAGGAAACCTAACCTGTGCATGTTAATCGAATAATGAGATCACTGGTAATCAAGTGCAAACTCAATACATCAAATTGGAAGCACTTAAAAAACCAGTAATTACGCAAGAAGATTGGGGGGCATAACATGCCCAAATTGACGATTCAAACACCGAGAGTTCCCCATGCGAAAATGACAACTGTTGGGATAGGAGGAATGATCAAGAATGAATGAATCCTTGCTTTTAGGGAATTACAACAAAACTCAAAGGCATTGCATGACAAAAACCAGCTAGGACGAAAACCCGTAAAGGGCGTCCTAGGCAAAAATTAGGGTAAAGGAATCAAAATCCCGATAGGATACATCCTATGCAAAAGTCAGGGATATATATATATATAAAAGCAATGTTTGCTCGAGTTGAAAACCTAAAGGCGGCTTGAGTATTCCCTATACAAAGCAAGAATCCATAAAGGTTTAACTCTAAACTACAAACACCAAGCAAGTGGAAGGGTTTTTCTGAGGTAATCAAGTCATCCATGACTCTTTAGGGGGCAACCTTCTTCTATCTCTCTGTGTATGAATCACGAACTCGAGGCATGCCCAGGCTTCGAGCTTTGCTAAAGGGGCACGTGTAAATTGGAATACTATTTTAATGTCATAACATTCTTTCATTTCTCTTCTCCCTTATATCTACTCTAAGCCTTGTTAACAAACCTTAAATGAACAAGTACATTTGAAATAAGGATGTCATTAGAAACAAAGGCTTAATACGCGATAAAGAACACATAAAGATCAATCAAATTCGGCATGACTTGTAGATAAGATTCCAAACAAAATTAGTGCAAGGGGCATCCCTCTTTAATGAAGGAAGGAAAGATGATCACAAATGCTGCAAGGATAAAAGCCCGACAGGAAACCCACTAAGGGGGCTGGGCAAAAATTAGGGCAAGGTCTGCTAGGAGACCCACAAATAAAAAGGGTAACCTAGGCAAAAGTAAGGATCGGAAACAAAATGTTTGCTAGGAAACACATCTCAAGTTACCTAGGAAAAAGTTAGGGCAAAGCAACATCTCGAACTGAAAATCGAGAGGCAGCTCGGAAAGATCACTTAATCAATGTGCAATCTCAAGTCATCACTTAAACTTTGAAAGGAATACTAAGCTAACATGGAAATGGTTTCCTTACTTCGAATGTGCTTGTTCATCAGCCTAAACACTAGTCAACCTCGGCCAGCCATTCTTCTAAAAAAACCCTTTTAAAAAGAAAAAAAATCCTTTCTAACAACCTTTTGAAAAAAAATACAAACATCCCTTCTTTCTTTCTTCTTTTCTCTTGACCCTTATGGCATTAAAATGGTACTGAAAAGATACACGGAAAATGCACAGTGAATACTCACAGAGGGAAGGCCGAGATGTCCTCAAACAGAGGTTAGAGATGCTTGACCACACATCGACTGGATAGTCAAGGAGCCACTGAAGCTTGGGCTCAAAAGAACATATCCCGACAGTAATCAAGATTGGCATGGATAGAAAGAAATCGTCAACATTAAACTTAATGCGTACAGGTTAATTTCTCGACATAAAAAAAATGAATTGCATCTTTAAGAACAAACACATGAGCATAAATTACATCGCATGCATATGAGGTAGGGGCATATGGAAGCGCGTTACACAAAAAAAGGAATAAATAATAAAAATCATTTCTATCTTGCATTTTCATGTGCATCCATACATCCATGCATTCTACTTCCTATGGGTCAAATGAGTCATCAGCATAGAGCACTCGTGAAAGACAAATAGCCAAGCATGAGCCATAGCAGTGTCAAATGGCAACCCCAAGTGACTCTATGTGCCCACTAAGCAAAGACATATCAAAAATGAAATAGAATGGAATCGACCAAATAAGCAAGCCTATAAGCAAGAAGAGGCCATCACGCCTTAGTTCCTTACCAAATGAAGGATGATCCAAGAGAATGCCAAGACCAAGAATGCTTTCCTTACCAAATCCAGGAGTGGCTTCCAAAATAATACTCATCAATAAAAATTTAGCAAATAACATCATCATGGGATGTGATCCCTCCACCAATGATGACAAAAAAAATATAAAATCAAAAAAGGCAAGCTTCGTACATGTTGAAAAAGCCGAAACATTTAGAAAAATAAAACAGAAAAAAAAGGCAAGCTTCGTACATGATGAAAAAGCCGAAGCATTTAGAAAACAAAATTTAGAAAAAAAACCCTATTATAAGCAGACACCTGGAAAGGCATTACAATACTCACCCTGACAAGAACAACACCAAACTTTTACCAACCATCCCACAATGAAGGCTCCTGGAGAGGCATCACAATACTCAAGTGGCAGGGACAATATTGGAATCCCTGCCTGCCATCCACTTCTTTGCCCACCAACACAAGGGCACATCAAACATCTCTTGCCCATCCACCAGGGGGCAGTCTTTCATACCACAACACCAACAAGAAGACATCAAGTACAAGCACGGAAAGGGTTGCTAGATCCCTAATACTAGTACAAGATCAAAGAGGGTTACTTGACCTTAGCAGTGGGCCGACTGAATCCTTAAAATATCAGTCCAGCTTAGAGAGGCTGAGCTACGAAACTACTTCAACAACAAAGAGGGTTACCTAACCTTAGAGTGGGCCAGCTGAAGCCTTAAAATATCAGTCCAACTTGGAGAGGCTGAGCTACGAAACTA